GCGGACGACGAGGTGCCCGAGGGCGGCACGCCCGGCGCGCTGCTGCAGAGCGACGGCGGCCTCGACCCCAAGTTCGGCCCACAGTTCCCCCGACACCCGCGCCTGCCTGGGGTGCGTCTCGATGCGATCCATCCGATTCGAGTCGAATCGGCGTTTCGTTGTCGGCTGCTCGGGGGCCGCTGTTTTGTTCACCCGCTGTTTTGTTCCAGAACGGCCCGCGCGACGCCGGCCGGCGTTTTCGCTCAAACTTCTTTGTTAAACGAAAACGAAACGTGAACAGAAAACACGGTTCAGGTTGAGCCCTGGATTCGACCTCGATTCTGGCTGGCTCGATCCGATGCTTTCGGGAGTCACGGGAGCCTTGTGTGTCCGCGCATCTCCGTCATGGGTGATTGGGCGGCCCCCCTCGCCGAAGGGCTGGCTCCCGTCGTCCCGCGAGGCAGCCGTCAGACGTTACTGTGCCGCGAGAGCTCCGCGCGGACCGAGCCCACTCCTCCCCTCCCCTTTCGCCCCTGCTCTTCGTTCCCCCTCCCCCCTTCTGCCCCCACCTTCCCCCGCCCTCCCCGCCTCCTCTCCCCCCACTCCTCCCTCTTGAGCGGCCCCCTCCAGAGTCGGCGACTTTGATCCGTCACGTGATGCGAATCGGAGGAGGAGGAGGAGGAGGAGGAGGAGGAGGAGGAGGCGGAGGAGGAGGAGGAGGAGGAGGAGGAGGAGGCGGAGGAGGAGGAGGAGGATCTAAAAAGGAGGAGGAGGGGGATTCGGCTGTGTGTGGTGGGGGGGGGGGGGAACTTCGCATCACGTGACGAAATCCCTCCGCCTCCAGAGGAGTGTGCAGCGGCCCTCCTCCAGAGGAGATGGAGGCCCGCGGCGGCCTCGCGCGGGGCCGTGCAGCAGCCCGACCAGACAGCAGGGGCGTCCGCCTCCGGGCTGTGCCCGACCTCCTCCCTCGCCCGCCCTCTCCCCGCCCCCCTCGCCCTCTCCCGCCCTCCCCCTCTCGCGACCTCCTCCCAGTCCCCCCCCCCTCGCCCTCTCCCGCCCTCCCCCTCTCGCGACCTCCTCTCCGTCCTCCCCCCTCGCAGCGTGAGCCCCTGCCAGGATCCGGGCAGACCGCCACGAGAAGTACCGGAGGCGCGGCTCGCCCGCCCCCGCCCCGCGCTGCTGCGACAGGGGGGGGGGGGGAGATTTCTCCCAGGGGGGGGACTTACAGCGCAGGCGTGAACCAGGCGTGGTCGATATCCTCCTCGTCCTCGTCGTCGCCCTCGTCGTCGCCCCTGTCGCCAACTGAACTTCGTCGTCGTCTGCGTCGGCGTCGGCGTCAGCGTCGGCGTCGTCCTCTCGTCGTTGTCGACGTCGTCGTCGTCGTCGTCGTCGTCGTCGTCGTCGTCGCAGTCGTCGTCGTCGCCCTCGTCCTCGTCCTCGTCGTCGTCGTCCTCGTCCTCGTCCTCGTCCTCGTCCTCGTCCTCGTCTTTCTCCTCCTTTTACTCTTCCTCCTCCTCCTCCTCCTCCTCCTCCTCCTCCTCCTCATAAGCGTTGTCGATGATTAGAGCCACTGGTTCCCCCAGCGTTCTCAACTCGTGCGCTGGTGTCCCCACTCTCACACGGAGGCTCCAGACTGAATTCCGGAGAGGGCCCAGCTCCCCCTGCAAGCTGGAGGATGGATGGATGGATGGAT